ACAGACAGTCTGTCAGGACAGCAGTAGTCCTGGAGTTGAGGTTGGAGGCAGAAAGATAGAGTTGGGTGTCATCCCACGTCTGCGGGTGATGTCACCAAGGGGGACCATGTGGATATTAAAGAGGAGAGGGTCAAGGACAGAGTCCTGAGATGTGACACCAGATGTGACAGTGCGGGGGGTGGAGGAGAAACCGTTAGTGGCAATAAAGTGGAGACGATGAGAGAGATAGGAATCGAACCAAGCAAGGGCAGGTCCGTGAAGATTGAGTAAAGCAGAGAAACGGTCCCTCACTTCTCTCGGTTTCACCCCAGAATAAACAATTGAAAATGGCTAAGATTTAGACAGGCTGTCCTCTTGAAGTCTCCCAAAATCTCTTTGCATTGCTTCCTCTCTCTCGTCTTTAAACCCCTCTGGAAGTATATTTATCCTTTCAACAGCACTTCTGGTCTTCTCTGTATTTTCCTGACTGCTCGGTTGGTCCCAATTATCTTTGTCAAGCACTCTTGAGCTATTTGTTCTAAGTGAAAGGTGCTACAGTAAAACTCACACAGGTCTGATCTGCATAAGTCATATAATTCCCTGAATCGTACGTCAGCCCGAGTCCTGTTGAATTTCCTATTATTAATAAGTTTCACATATAAACTCATACTTTGCGTAAGTCATATTAAATGTATGGTCCCAACTGATGTGAGGTTTATTGTATATTAGTGCATGAGGCTACCGCTATAGAAATGAATCCCTATTCCCCCTCATCCGGCTCAGATCTTGATTCAAAATCGCAAACAGGTTTTAAAGTTCAAGTTGAAAACTTCCAACTGTTCCTGCAATTACGTACACACTCAATTGGATGCCTTCCATTATCAGTGCCCAGCCAGTAAACTCAGAGCTAACTTGACTCCCTCTTCAGTTCTCACTTCCTACAAGAGACGAGCTTTATTTAACAAGTCATTTCAGGAACACACGATATACCGACATACTAACTGGGGTGACCTGAACACTCAGTTGGCCCGTGGATCATTTTGTGCCAGTAACTAAGACAACCTCTTCATCCCTTGGGGCTGACCTGCGAGTTGCAACAAAGCGGACTGTAAACTCTGAGACAAAAAAAATTAACTCACTGAGGAATTTGAGGTTGCTAGGAGACGTAATCCTCGTCCTGTTTCACAGAATGGAAACAAGCAAAAATGGCCCATCCTCGAAAGAGCGAGATTGGGTTTTCTGTATCATCGTGTGGTTTCACAGCTCACCATCCCTTTCTTTCTCTGTCGGGTAAACATTTGCTCCCCATTTGAAAATCCATTTTAAAGGGAACAAAAACAATTACAGCTTGACATAACAAGTACGTACACAGTCGTTTCTCTTTAAAGGGATAAAGTTGTCAAAGCCAAGTTTTGCCAAATGCATCTCTGTATTCCACTCGACAGAACACAAATAGTGCCATGGGATCGTGAACAGACAGATCGGACATAATACTAATAATAATCCTTGCATTTGATATAATAATAATAATAATAATAATAATAATCCTTGCATTTGATATAGCGCTTTTCACGTCGGGAGGACGTCCCAAAGCGCTTCACAGAATATACTGTAAAGTGAATTGAGTGTATATTTGTGGGCGAACGCGGCAGCCAATTGCGCACAGCAATGTCCCACAAACAGTCGTAGATTGAAAATGACCAATTTATTATTGTTTTGGGTTTTTGGAGGGATTATTATTAGGCGTGTGGAGTAAGGAAACTTGCCCAAGGTTTCGCCCTCTGCCTGGGATTGAACCCAGGTCTCTCACTTCCAAAGCGAGTGCTCTAACCACTGAGCTACAGGACACCTGATTTATGCCCCCCCACTTTTTCATCCATCTCGATCTTCCCCCTCATGGAGGCATTAATCATAATAATTATCCTTACAAATAATATACAACAACAGCAGCAACAAGATTCCATTTATAGAGCGCCTTTCACGTTGGGAGGACGTCCCAAGGCGCTGAATATAGTGATGACAGGATGTCTCAAAAGTGCTTCACTAAATAATAATGTGAAGCGCAATGACTATTTTTTTAGGTAATAATGGTCCACCACATCCTACTCAGAAAGTTTGCAGATTGGGAAAGCAATGTCTTTTGGTTGCAAATTTTTGAGTACAGCACTATATCGTAATGATCCGGCAGATTTGTGTTTGGGTTCTGATTTGGCAACAGTTGTGAAATAGCTGCAGGAAAGAGAAAAATCGCAAGCACTTGTGCTGGTAGATTTGAAGAGGAGACATGATGAGAAAGCAAGGCCAACCAAACTGACTGGCTGGGTGTTACGTTAACGCATTGAGTTTGCTCCAAATAAAAATTGCCTTAGCGCTCATTTTTCCTCATTTTTCTTCGAAGAAGTGTGTTTGGAAAGTCAGTCGTGTTGGTATGTTTCCAATAGCTTCCATTCTATCCAGCAACCTGTGTTTCACCACAACCCGACACATTCCCTGTCAGTCAATATAAGGCCTTTGCTCAGCAGCTACAATAAACATTCAATCTTGTTCTGTGTACCCAGTCAGCACGGGGTTAATGAGAGTTCCCCCAATCCACACAAGGATTCCCCCTTTATTGAAGACTAGCTTCGCTTGCAACCAGAAGATCCAATATGACAGATTGACACACAGACAGACCTTTCGTCTTTATCTGGGACGGACTCCTGTGGGAGGACTCCTTTAATATATTTTCTCTTAGTCTCTCGTAGTCTCTCTGACTCTCTCTCGCAGACCCTCTGTCTCTCTTAGTCTCTCTCTCTCTCTGCGTCGCTCTCCCTCACAGTCTCTCTCCCAGTCTCCCACTCTCTCTCTGTGTCGCTCTCTAAATCTCTCTCTTCTGGTCTGTCTCTCGTCTATCGCTCTCTGACTTTCTGTCTTTCCCACAAAACACACAGTCACTGCACGTTATAATATATTCTCTCTCCCAGTCTCTCTCTCTCTCCCAGTTTCTCTTTGAGTCTCTCTCACTATCTCAATCTCTCTCTCAGTCTGTCGGTCTGTCCCATATGGGAGGACTCAAGCTCCCGTAACCAGAAAAATAATACCTCATATTAATTTAAGCATTTTTCAATATAGCTCATCAACAATAGGAGATCGCCCCCACTCCCACCCCAAACATGCCCAGGACACTGCCAGATGCAAGACCTTTCCGATGGGGTGTAAATCGTGTCTCTACCTCGATCGGTTATTGGGTGAGTGTCGGATACACTGACCCACAGACAGACAGACAGACAGACAGACAGATTTTATTAGTATAGATTACGATAATAAACCTTGCATTTGATATCGTGCTTTTTATCACATTGCAGCAGCTTTTCCGTGAAGTGTAGTGACTGCTGC